GGCACTCCCTCAGCACTGACCCTCCGACAGTGCGGCACTCCCTCAGCGCTGACCCTCCGACAGTGCCCACTCCCTCAGCGCTGACCCTGCGACAGCGCGGCGCTCCCTCAGCGCTGACCCTCCGACAGCGCGGCGCTCCCTCCGTCGATCATACAGTGATATGTAGGGGACCTGACTGAGATCAGAAGTAAGCATTGTCTCCCCTGGAAAAATAAAACTTTTCAGAGCAGTTATGGGAATAGGTGACCTCGGTGAAAGAGTGCAGCTTGTTACACTGTAGATGTTGGTGCATTCGCCGAGCTGGGAGGTTTGATAGCAGACGTTTTGTCCCCTTACTAGGTGGCATCCTCAGTGCTGTGGACCCTCCTGTGAAGCACTGTTGTCCTGTGCTGGTTCAAGTTTATATGGCCTGGTTTTTGCTTCTTTCAGTAGGTGCCAGTTCCAGTTGTGTGTAGTAAGGATCAGTATATCGGGTCTAATTCAACGTGTTTGTTGGTGGAGTCCGCGGATGAATGCCAAGCCTCCAAGAATTCCCTGGCTGTCCTCCGTTTGGCTTGTCCTATGATAGTAGCGTTGTCCCAGGTGAAAGTGTGGTTTTTCTTGTCTGTGTGTATTGAAACCAAGGACACCTGGTCGTGTTGTTTAGTTGCTAGCTGGTGTTTGTGGATGCGGGTTGCTCATTGTCTGCCTGTTTGTCCCACGTAGTGTTTTGTGCCGTCTCCGCATGGTATCCTGTAAACCACATTCATCCTGTCCATGGTATCGATTGGGTCCTTAACACTGGTCAGTTGCTGCGGGTTTGTGCGCTGTCATGATTCATAGCGGTCTGAGTTGTCTGGCCCTCAGTTCTGAGGTGTTTTTTATAAACGATATGGTGGCTATTGTTTAGGGTTTTGGTGTGTCCTGATTGTGTTGTGTGTTGGCTAGGCATCTGTGGGTGAAGCTGTGGGGGTATCTATTCCTGGTGAAGACCTTGTAGAGGTCTTCTTCTTCTTCTTCTTTTTGGAGATCGGGGATGCTGCAGTATGCAGCAGCCCTTTTGAAACCCAAAACAATAGCCACCATACCGTTTATAAAAAAAAAACCTCAGAACTGAGGGCCAGACAACTCAGACCGCTATGAATCATGACAGCGCACAAACCCGCAGCAACTGACCAGTGTTAAGGACCCAATCGATACCATGGACAGGATGAATGTGGTTTACAGGATACCATGCGGAGACGGCACAAAACACTACGTGGGACAAACAGGCAGACAATGAGCAACCCGCATCCACAAACACCAGCTAGCAACTAAACAACACGACCAGGTGTCCTTGGTTTCAATACACACAGACAAGAAAAACCACACTTTCACCTGGGACAACGCTACTATCATAGGACAAGCCAAACGGAGGACAGCCAGGGAATTCTTGGAGGCTTGGCATTCATCCGCGGACTCCACCAACAAACACGTTGAATTAGACCCGATATACTGATCCTTACTACACACAACTGGAACTGGCACCTACTGAAAGAAGCAAAAACCAGGCCATATAAACTTGAACCAGCACAGGACAACCGTGCTTCACAGGAGGGTCCACAGCACTGAGGATGCCACCTAGTAAGGGGACGAAACGTCTGCTATCAAACCTCCCAGCTCGGCGAATGCACCAACATCTACAACCAGCACCTGAGCTACAAATCTTCACTGAAATTCTGAGCTTGTTACACTTCTAGACAGATGTGTTTGGTTAGAAATCTGCATTGGTTATTTAAAGTTGAGAAAGTCTAAGCTCTTAGTTATGTGAGGATTGAACGAAAAGCATTCAGAGCACCAGAACTGAGGAGAAGTTAATTCAAACCTTCTGATTGGAAAGGGAAAGAAAATGTCTCTGAGTTGATGTGAATTCTGTGTACTGGATGTTTTGAACCCTTTCACACTGTGTTGTGTTTTGATTGCATTTTTTGTGTGTAATAAACACCTGATTTATTGTTAAAACTAAATCTCAGCCTGGAGTGATGATGTTTCCGTGAAAGACCACCACATTAAATAAAAACACTGTGATCTATCAAGCCGAGTTTTGTTGTGGGATCTGACTTGTTCTGTAGTGACACAAACTGAGATCAGAGCACAATGTTTCTGCTTTCTGTGTTTTGGGTTCCAGCATTTCTATGTAGTTGTGATTTAGGGTCTTGTGTTGCTGCTTGTGTTTATTCAGTGTCACTTTTATCCTTATTTCACTCTCTCTTTCTTGCAGTTCCTCAGAACGCAGTCTCACGAGACAATATCGTACTGGGCCGAATTCTGGGTGAAGGATTCTTTGGCCAAGTTTTTGAAGGAGTTTACAAAACAGCAGTGAGTCATTCAAGGGATTAATTTTTATGGTTTGTCCTTTGTGTGAGAGAATTTTCCTGGAACGTTTTCCATTAATTATATTAGGCGTTATACATTCCCAGAAATGTCCCTGAATACAGCTGTGAAACTCAGGGGATTGCCAAAACGGGATTCTGGATTCTTCCCAATACAGGGAGGCTCCTGATCTGTACAACTTTACAATTTCTCATAGAGTCATACAGCAGTCCATGCCAAACACGGTCCCAAACTAAACTCGTCCCACCTGCCTGCTCCTGGTCTGTGAAATGTAGAAAAGATGCAGTGCAGCCTCCACCCTCTCCCCACAATTGTACGAGAGGAATTGGGTCTCATTTTCCTGCTCCCCCTCACTGGATTTGAGCAACACGTTCCCTCAAACTCCTCCCCTCAACTCCTTCCTTACCTCCTGCACAACCCCCCCAACTCCTTTCCTCAATGCGTTCCCTCTGATTCTCCCCTTGTCACCTGGCCTTGACCCTGTGCCCAATGTGAGAGTTGCCTGTGATGTTGTAATTGCCTGTTGGTTACAGTCGGTCTGGGTTACATAATGTTAATTACCAAAACCCAGGAGTTCTACATGAAATGAGCAGGAAATGCTGCTGGATCTCTTAACATTAGGCTGCAATTGATCGATACAAGCTCCCTGTTAGTGACCTGACCACATCTGAGTGGGAAAGTCAAGGGAACTTGTGGCCTTGTTCATCCATCTGCTTGAGCCTATCCCCCATCTGACACTCTCTGCACTGCAATCTGAACCCCTCTCAACCCAACTTGGTGTTCCTCTCTATCAGTGGCAGACTCACCTCCCCCCATTTGCTAGCCCACTCCATCACTACCAGCTCCCTCACCACCCTCCAGATAAGGTCTGACTCCTCTTTGGAATGGTCCTGTAAAAGAGTCATATCAGACTGGGAACATTAACTGTGTTTCTCTCTCCACAGATGCTGCCAGACCTGCTGAGTTTCTCCAACAATTTCTGTGTTTATTTCAGATTTCCAGTATTGGCAGTATTTTGCTTTTAATGAGAACACCACCTTGCCTTGCCTGAAAGTGCTGTCAATTTTAGAGAATGTTTTTCTAAAGACAGTTTGAGTTTTCTTTTTTTTTTAATTTGTGAGATTTCAACAGTCACATTACTCTTCACAATCCATGTCTGCTCTTGCATTCCTGTTTTTTTTCCCTAAACAGAGAGGTGAACACATCTCTGTTGCAGTGAAAACCTGTAAGACTGACTGCTCACTTGAAGTAAAGGAGAAGTTCCTGGTTGAAGGAAGTAAGATTTGTTTACCTATGATTTGTTCTGTTTGGAACTGGATGTATTCCTGGTTACCAATGAGGGTGTAGTACAATTTACTTTGTCGCTGTATCTGTCTGTCTGATTACCCAAACTCCAACCAATATAACCATCAGGGATAGTTCAGGGAATCCCCCTCGAGAACAGGGTAAGGCCTTCACTAGCGCAGGCTACACAACAAATAATACACTAAGTGGAACGGCTCGCTTCACTTTGCCAAAGCTTTTCATCTTGCACTCATCAAGACAGTTCACAAGAAATACCAATCTAAGAGGAAAGCCAACATTTCTCCGCTTGTTCTTCCCCTTGAGTTGGTATTCTTGCAAAGTGTCCTAATAAATACAAGATGGAAAGATGTGACAAAGTGTGTCTTTATTCAGCAATGTTCAAGTTCTGAACAAAACTTGGAAGGTGTTGGGCATAGGGCTGAGTGGATGAGTTACAGATTGTTGTGCATTTATCTCACACCTTTCACTCAGTAAAATGTTGCAAATGGAAGAGAAATAAGTCAGAAGTGATGCATTGAAAGGTACAGAGTGAAATAAACAAGTCTGTCTATCAGGCAGTGCATATAGTTAAGACATAAGGGAGTGTGGTAAGGCTGGAATGTGTTTATTTCAATGCAATGAGTCTTGGGAGTAAGATGAGTTGAAAGTGCTGATTAACACATGGGAATGTGATATTGTTACTCTCACAGAAACATGGTTGAGGAAGGGGCAGGACTGGTAGCTCAATATTCCAGGGTATAGAATCTTTAGGTGAGATGGAGGGGATGGTAAAAGAGAAAGTGGGGTCACAATATTGATCAGGGAGTTGATTATTACACTGAGGAGGGAGGATATCTTAGAATGTTCCTCAAGTGAGGCCATTTGGGTAGAACCTAAAAACACCAAGGTATCACTCCCTTTGCTGGGACTGTAGTGTAGACCCTCACAACCCAACCCTCAGCCAGGGAGAGATAGAAAGACAGATATGTCCGTGAATATCAGAGAAATCCAAAATTGATCAGGTAATAATCATGGGGAATTTCAACTTCCACAATTTTTGAATGGACCTCTCAAATGTTAATTTTGCTGTCTTTCTGCCCATTCTCTGCGGCTGTAACACATTGTATTCTGCACTCTGTTCTGCTACGCTGAGGCACATTGTACTGTATGGTCTGCCTGTATAACTCACAAAACAACACCTCTCTGTATGTTAGTACATGGGACAACAGTACATCAATTAATGTTAACTGGGATAGACAAAGCATGAACGTTTGGAGAGGGCACAGTTCATACACGATGTTGGGGAGAACTCTTTAAGCCAGGATGGGGAAAGCCCTAGGAGAGAGGAGCCGATGCTGGGCTGGGATTTCGGGATTCCACGCCGGGCATGTGGCAGCTGTGACGGGGGGAGCATTTCGAAAACGGTGACTATATTCAGTGAGATTGAAGGAAATTCTGGAAAAGGACAAAGATAGAGTGAAAATAAAAGTTCTGAACTGGGAGAAGGATGATTTTAATAAAACCAGATAGAATCAGGCCAAAGTGCAGCTACTTCCTGGAAATTCCACATCAGAGACCGGGGCAGACAAGGCGAATAGAGAGAGACCGGGGGAGACGGGGGAAATAGGGGAAATAGAGAGAGAGACCGGGGCAGACCAGGGGAAATAGAGAGAGAGAGAGA